AATATTTACAACATATTAAATTCATCATTTTTAATCAATAATACTATTAATGATAATAAATAATAATACTAATCACAGTAATAAAAATTTGGAAAAAATTTATTAATTAATAAATCATAGTTAAAATTTAATTTCGAATTTAATTTCATTTAATTTTTCATTTTCAAAATTTTAATTTTAAATAATTAAACATGGAAATATTTCTCATCAAAATTACTTTTTTTCATCTCGGGTTTAATATCCATCATTTATTTATTTCAATGGTAAATGATATTGGTTTATCTCGGGTTCGATACCAATCATTTAATTATTTGAATGGTAAATGATATTGGTTTATCTCGGGTTCGATACCAATCATTTAATTATTTGAATGGTAAATGATATTGGTTTATCTCGGGTTCGATACCAATCCTTTATTTATTTCAATGGTAAATAATAGTAAATGATATTGATTTATCTCGGGTTCGATACCATTCCTTCATTTATTTGAATGGTAAATTGTACTGGTTTATCTCGTGTTCAATATCCATCATTTCACTTATTTAAATCATAAATGGTATTGGTTTATCTCGGGTTTAACAATCCTTCATTTATTTAAATGGTAAATGATATTGGTTGTCTCGGGTTCAATAGTCGTCCATTCATTTATTTGAATGCAAATTGTATTAGTTTATCTCGGATATAATACCAATCCATTTATTCAAATGGTAAATGGTACTGGTTTATCTCGGGTTCGATACTCATCCATTCATTTAAATGGTAAATGATATCGGTCTATCTCGAGTTCATTACCTGTCATTGGTAATTTCAAGTTAGTTATAATAAAATGGCTTATTTAAAATATTTTAATTTTATTTTAGCTTTCGTTCAAAAAACTTTTTGAAAAAGAAAAGTACAATTTGAAAAAGTTTGCCTTTTTTGAACACACAAAGAAAAAGAAAGAAACAATAAATTGAAATTTTAAAAATTGTTTCATAAATACTATTGAAAGATTGTTTGTCGTTTGAAAAAAAACCTAAAACGAAATTTCCTTTTTTTCTCTTCCCCTTTCTTTTATCACCCTCTACTCTTCATCACTATCTCTATTTCATTTTCTCATTCTTTCCAATCATATTTCTTTCGTATTTTAAATTTCACTTTAAATAAACAATTCCCGATAAGTCTTCGAAACGAAATTTTTCCATTTTTTCTTTTTCTCTCTCTCCCTCTCTCTCGCCCTCTCTCTCTCTCTCTCTCCTCTTTCATCTTTCATATGATTAATAATTTTTATGTGCTATGTATACTTTTGTTTTCTTCATTTTCAATTTCATTTTAATTTTTTTTATCCTTCAAATTCTCGTTTTAAATGAGCTTTCGACTATATTATTAAATCGATATCCTTTAAAAAAAACTATTATTAGTAATTATTATTATTTAAATACTTAAATTTAAATATTTAAATTTAAATATTTAAATTATTATGGGATGTTTTTGAAAAAAAAAAAAGAAATGACTAATATCATTGTATTCTAAAATATTTTGTTCATTAATTTATTATATTCTCTTAATTTAGTATTAATCATACAATTTTATACGATCCGATTACCATTTACCAACGATTTCTATAACATATGACATTATGAATCATTTTTGAATTCAAATTCAATAATGAATTAATTTGATATTAAATTTGGATTTTTTCTATATTTGCTTAATTAGTATTAATCATACAATCCTATACGATCCGATTTCTATTTACTAATGATTTCTACAACATATAAATGTTATGAATCATTTTTGAATTCAAATTCAATAATGAATTAATTCGATATTAATTTCAAATTTTTTCAGAAATAATACAGAATTAGTAATTAGAAAAAGTAATAATGATAATTACTATGATAATAATACAACAAAGTTGTAATTAATCAATTAATTAATTTAAAAAAAAATTGTTATAAACAATCGTCAAACATATATTTCTACAGGTGGATAACAAAAGAAAATACCATTTCCAATCTTTCTTTTTCCTTTCTTTTGTTTCAAATTAAATTTAGCTAATTAGTTAAGATGAATAGATGGTAGTACCAAGAGAAGACCATCCGATACATATTATCTTTGCTTATTTATGTAACTTTTATTTTTTGCTTTTTTGTTTTGGAAAAAAACAATACCAATAAAAATTATGCATTATTGGAAATTTTGAATAATTTAAAATATTGCAATAGTTTTCCTTTCTATCTTCTTCTGTGTTTTACGTTCATTTAGTATAATATTTTATTTTAAAAATAATACTAAAAATATAATTAAATAATTATTACGAAAATTTTCTTTATCCATTCATTATTGATTTATTGTTATATAATATAAAATAAAATAGTAGAAAAAAATTTTCTTCTCTCATACCTAAAATTTGAAAGAGCAAAAATAATTTATTCCTTAAAAAAAAGAAAGTTTTTTTCCTTTCTCAAATCAATTTTTAGCATTAAAATTTTTAATCGTTAATGAGAAATTTTAATTTATTTAAAAAAAGAGAAGAAAGATTTCAATTCTTCTAATATCAAAGATATTATTTTAAATTATAAAAGTTTCATTTTTTAAAAATGAATATTGAATGATTTTAGTTTATTTGAAAAACAAAAAACGGAATAAATTTTTCTAATATCAAAAGATATTATTTTATATTATAGAAATTTCAACTTCAAAAAAATTTTGAATGGCTTTAGTTTATCTAAATATATTAGAAAGAAAAAAGATTTTAATTTGAAAACGTTAGATAATTTTTTCGTTATTGAATTAGATAAGTTTCAAAAAAAATACTTTTGGATGATTTAAAGTTTTAGGAAATTTCAGTAAATTAATTTAATGACAGCCAGCTTATTCTTGTGTGTGCTCGTGTGTTTCAAAGCTAAATAATATTTCTTTATTAAACCTGTAATTTTTTTTTCTCTCTCTCTCTCTCAAAAATAAATTCAATTAATATCGGATGAAGCGGAAGAGAGAGGATATGAAAAGTATGAGTGGAATGAAATTATTTTGAATTATAGGTTAATTTTTGCTTTTTTTTGTATTTTTAATATATAATTTGATATTCAACTTAATCATCGATAAGAGAGAGAGAGAGTGGAATGATTGACATCACTTTTTATTCTTTTTCATACCGTTTCCATGGGGATATCATTCAATTTTTAATAAGGCTAAGAAATGTTTTGTTTGTTTTGAATTTCATATTTATGTATTAATTTTATGGTACAAATGAATGATTGAATGAATAAATGAATAAGTAAATAGTGAAATTTATCAAATACGACTAACTACAAATATATTGCTAATAGATAATTTAGCATTATTTTATATTTTGTTTACCTCTTTTATTTTCACTTTAATTCATTCCATTTCATTCATTTATATTATATAATTTACAGTTTGATATTTATGTTATATAATTTATAATTTTATAATTTTATTATATAATTTACAGTTTGATATTTATGTTATATAATTTATAGTTTGATATTTATATTATATAATTTATAGTTTGATATTTATATTATATAATTTATAGTTTTACATTTATACTATATAATTTGCAGTTTACATTTACATTTATATGATATAATTTACAGTTTTATATTATATAATTCACAGTTTTATATTTATATTATATAATTCACAGCTTTATATTTATATTATATAATTCACAGCTTTATATTTATTTATATTATATAATTTACAGTTTTATATTTATATCTTATTTTCTTGTTTCGTTTTTAAATTTCTTCTCTTATAAATTAAAATAGCATATAAATTAAAATATTGAAACATTTCGATTTTACATTTCTATCAAATGAATTCAACAATGATCATTTCAAAAATGCTATAAAATCTTTTATTGCTTCAGCATTTAATATCAGTGCTACTGGTCAACAAATTTCCCGCATGGGCTTCATCATAAAGCACATTTTTGAGCCGATCATTATTAGCACATGCGGAAATAGCACTATAGATAGTATATGGCATTAACGAATCACATTTTTGCGCCGATCATTATTAGCACATGCGGAAATAGCACTTTAGATAGTATATAGCACTGATGAAGCACATTTTAGCGCCAATCATTATTAGCACATGCGGAAATAGCTCTGTAGATAATATATAGCACTGATGAACTACATTTTTGCACCGATCATTAACAAATGCGGAAATAGTACTATAGATAGTATATAGCACTGATGAAGCCATTTTTGCGCCAAATCATTATTAGCACATGCGGAAATAGTACTTTAGATAGTATATAGCACTGATGAAGCACATTTTAGCGCCAATCATTATTAGCACATGCGGAAATAGCTCTGTAGATAGTATATAGCACTGATGAACTACATTTTTGCACCGATCATTAACAAATGCGGAAATAGTACTATAGATAGTATATAGCACTGATGAAGCACATTTTTGCGCCAAATCATTATTAGCACATGCGGAAATAGCACTATATCACTTTAGATAATATATAGCACTATAGATAAATAGCACTCGAGCACTGATACAACTCTGGGAAATATTACGATCGCAACATTTTTTTTGCAAGTCTTATAAATACGACAAAAAATTATTAAATTATAAAACTTTCTTTGATTGTTAAAAAGAATTTGAATTAATCGATTTTCTATTATTTTTACATTATTGTCTTATTAAATTATCAAATTCTCATTTGATGAAATGATATTTAATAAATTATTTAATTGTATTTTAGATTATCAAAAAAGAAAATTTTGTTAAATTATTTCTTTTATTTAAAATTTTTGAACAAAATGATAAAAATATTTATCATAATGATAAAATATTTATCATAGTGATAATCATAGTGATAAAAATGTTTATCACTAGTGATAAAAATTGGGAACTTCTCGAACAAAATATGAAAAATTATAACTTTCAACGGAAATCTTGTCTTTAATTAATAAATATTTCATAACCTGAATTTAAAAATAAGGGGAAATTTCTTATAAATATTCATAATGTTTATAATATATTATGATGTAACATATAATATGTTTTTAATCATACTTTTATTAATAAGAATAAATAATATCTTATAAATATTTATAATCTTTTATAATATATTTCTTTTATCATACTTTATTTATAATATAATATATAATATATTTTTTATCATACTTTTATTAATAAGAATAAATAATATCATTTGTTTATAATGCTCATTGCTAATTGTTAAATTTTAATTTAATTTAATTTCATTATTTTTTGCTTCCTTTTTTGTTTTTAGAACTTATGCACAACATATGCAGCAGCAGGAAATATATCAACAGTATCATCAACAGTATCAACATCATCCGATTTTCATCCTCAATCACAACACTGCCAAAAACAACAACAACAACAACAACAACAACAGCAACAGCAACAAGCGCAATATAAATTAACAGCTGATAATAATATTATTGTTACAAATGATGCAATAGATATTAATGATACAATACAACCATCACATGTGATACAATCAGCATCATTAAACATTATTGGTATCAATAACGATCGTCGAGTTTCCTTTCAAGGAGAATTACTTGATCTTGAACCTACTAAAACTGGACCACAAACAGCTACTGAGGAGTATTATTATCAGACATTATCACAAAATATTTCTGATATTGGTAATACATATTGTGAACAACAAAAACGTCTTACACTTTTGTCTGATCAAAGTTTACGATCAGCAATTAGTGATGTTGGTGATTATTAATTTTAATTCTAATTTTAATCTATTAACAATAATTTATTTCAACATTGAAATTAAAAATTACACTATTTCATATAAATATTTTCTTTTCAAATCAAAAATTACTACACCAATCGATGATATATTCTACTCTTACCACTCCATGGTACTTAGTATATCTAATTAATTATTTGGAGTAAGTTATTCTTTTTTTTACAAATCAAAATTTACTATAACAATCGATGATATATTCTACTCTTATCACCACATGGTACATAATATATTTAATTAATTATTCAAAGTAAGTTTTTTTTAATCAAAAATTACTACACCAATCGATAATATATTCTGCTCCTACCACCGCAGGAGTAAGTTTTTCTTTTTTCACATCCAAAATTACTACAACATACATTCTACTCTTACTACCACATTGATACTTAGTATATTATCCGCAAGAATTAATTCAAATAGAAAAAAAAAATCTTTTAATTTCGATATACGTTTCTATTTTTCATTCATCCCACAATTGCCAGATATTTGCAACGTTTACGATTAAAACGTTGTTAACATAGCAATTTCTTTTAGTATTACATTTTAAAAAAAGTTTTCATTTTTTTCTTTTGTTTTAAAACTTTAATAAATTATTGAAATATTATGCAAAAAATTTTGTTGCAAACAAAAGTGTAATTCTATTTTGGTATTTTAATTATTTCTTTTTCATTTATAAAATGATTTTTAAATTTATTCCTTTTTTATCTCTTCTCCTTATCAATTTCACATACTATTTCCATATTTATAAGTGTGGAAGATATTTAATTTCAATTCTATTTTACTTTTTAATTATTTCTTTTTCATTTTTAAATCTATTCCTTTTTATCTCTTCTCCTTATCAATTTCCCAAACTATTTTCATATTTACAAGTTGCAAAAGAAAATGACAGTTTATATTATCGTAATTTTTTTCCTATATCCTTTAAATATATCATATTCATTGTCATTTTTATCTTTCTTCTTCTCCTTCTCCTTCTCATTCGTCATCTTTTCTATAATTCCGTTTCCGTTTCATCTTATCCTTTTTCATTCCGTTCCGTTTTACGTTTCTTTCCATTTATCCATACTTCTTCCTCCATATCACATTTCATCTCTTATCAATATCAAAAATGAATTAGAAAAATTGACTAAATGATAGCTTAAGATATTTCAATAGTTTAAATCATGATTTCAATCATCATTTTTTTTTTTAGTTTAAATCAACATCCCACAAAATTGGATATTATTATATTTGAAAATATCGATTTAATTTTTTCCTACGATTTTGCAAAGTTTTTTTTTCAACATAAAATTTTTTTACCTTTTTGAAATTTAACGAGAAAAGTTTTGAACTTTATTTTATTCCTCATTTAGCGCAATACATTTTCCTACCTTACATTTTTTGATGGATAGAAATTATGAATTTTAAAAATGTTGAAAAAAGCGTAGATTTCTTTTTAGAAAAAATCAAGTGACAAATTTCATATCTCATATAATAATACCTATCAAAAATAATGAAATTACCTGAGCTCAATTACCTAAGTAATTAAGTCATTGATTATTTTAATTACTAAAAAAAAAAGTTTTCATTTTTTATATTTTCCTCATTACATATCTTACTTATCAATTATATTGCACAATAAAATATCTTATCAATAATAGAGAAGTTGATAAGATCGTAGCAAAAAAAAAAAAATTTTTGTAAATTTTAGAAAATTTTAAAATATTCAAAAAAATTCCAGCATTCGTTTGATCTATCAACGACACGTAAGATGTCACTGGTGGGTAAACCGTTGGTTTATAAAAATTATAGCACCGATCAGAGGTTTCGACGAATTCAAAGTAAGGTGCATAATTTCCTCGAACGACCTCGTGGCTGGAGAGCTGCTGGCTATCATTTTTCTGTGTAAGTATATTTTAAAATTTATTCATTAATTTATTTTAAATCAAATTTTAATTAATTTCACTTTCAATATCTGTTCAGAGAGCACAATTATCGTACAAATGAATTTCGGATAACTGATTTCTTTGTGTGATTCTGTATACTATCATCACTTATTTGTTATTAGCAACTTTCCAATATGCTACCGAATTTTGGCAAAATTAAATTTCCATTTTTTAATTTCTTGTAAGAAAAATGTTTAAATAACTGATAAGAGATTATTGTTATAGCGATAAGAGAAGTTGATAAGAGATATTTGTTCAATTAAAGAAAAGTTGATAAGAGATAATTGTTATTAATTATTCAAATTAATATCATTGTTTATAATTTTGTAAATATAATTTTTTAGACTTCTAATGATCTTAATATGTCTTGCATTAAGTGTTTTTTCAACAATGCCCGATTTTGAAGAGCAAGCAACTTTAATTCTTTATTATATTGTATGTTTGTTTTTTATTCGTATCTTTTTGAAATTTATGAATAAAATTATTTTTTGCATAAAATTTATTAATTCAATTAATTAATTGATTTTTTCTTCTTCCTAATTAACATTTAAATTAATTATTTTGAAACAAATAAAATCGCAATTTGAAAAGAATAATTTCTTTTGCTTCTTTTTTTAACATTAAATTTCAGCTATGAAATAAATGTTTCCTTTAAAGAAACAAATCAGAGAATTTGAAATAGAAATTTTTATTCATTTCATGATATATTATATGTTATGTTATGATATAATATAATATGATAAGAGTTATCAAACTATCAGATTATATTAATAGACATGAATTATTACATTTTATAAAAGAAAATAATTAATTTGAATTATTATGTATATATATATATATATACATATTTATAATTATTGATAAATATAATGTAAAATAATAACATTAAAAAATGATTACTTAATTAAATTTAAAAAAAATGATTACTTAATGTTGGGATAATTAATTGAATCTAAATTTATTTTTGTATCGTCATTTTATCACTTTTTATAAAAATTATCATCAAATGATAAAATATTTCAAATATTTGATGAAAGGCTTTTAGGAGATAGTATTTGTATTTTGGTTAGCAATGGAATATATATTTCGAATTTGGTCATCCGGTTGTCGTTCACGTTATCGTGGCATATCAGGCCGGATACGTTTTGCTACCTCTGCTTATTGTATTATTGGTATAGTATTTTGATGATAATAATTATAATAATGATTTGTGAAAAAATTTCAAAAAATATTAATTTTTTTTAAAGCATCTGATATTATTATATCAGTTAGGAATATCTGCTCTTATCATATCATTGATGAAAGAAATAAAAGTTTTAGTATTTTTTAATTAATGATTTTTGAAACATATAATATTATTATATTAATTAAGGAATATCTGCTCTTATCATATCATTGATAAAAGAAATAAAAGATTTGATTAAATGAATCTGTTTCTTTTTCAGATATTATTGTTATCACAGCATCAATTGTAGTATTATGTATTGGAGCAACTGGGCAGGTTAAAACTTTTCATTTTTCCTCTTAATTAATATAATTCATTAAAGAACAATTGATCATTGAGCATATTTTTTATTAAAACATTTTTATTGATTGCAGGAAAAGATAAGTAAATGCATATTTTGCATTGTAAAATTGATAGATGATGATTTATTTGTTAAGTTATAATTGTAAAATTAAAAATTAAATTTAAATGGATGAAATTAGTAAATTTTTTTCTGCAATAGTCTTTTTCTATCCTAATTAAAAATACCAAATAATTTTTTGAAAAATCAATTTTTAGATTTTTGTCGTAAAATATTTTATATTCATAAATTCATAAATAATTATTACAGTAATTCCAAATACTGGAATTAGTTGCTAAACAAAAAAAAATTAATCATTTTAAAATAATTTTTGCAAAAACCTTTTTTCCTATTGTAATTTTAATTTTAGTTTTCTAGTTGATTAATTATCTAACTTGACAATTTAAACAATAATTCTAAATACTTAATTACCGAATTATTTACAATATAATGTTGAATTTTGCAGCAGTATTACCTGTTTATAATTTTTGCAAAAACCTTTTTTCTATTGTAATTTCAATTTTAGCTTTCTAATTGATTAATAATTATCTATAACTTGACAATTTATACAATAACTCTAAATACTTAATTACCGAATTATTTACAATATGTTGTTGAATTTTGCAGCAGTATTACCTATTTAATTTGCACCTTTTTTTTGCTTCAGCCTAAATTATTTATATTTTTGGATTTCAAAATTTATTGTGCATTAAAAAATTACTTTTAAAATACAAAAATATATATTAAATTTAAGATAAAATCTCTTCAAAGCATTTTTATCTTTTATAAATCCAAGAAAATGAATAATTCTATGAATATTTTTAGTTAATTACTTAATTAATCACTACACCTTTGATTATATTTGATTAATTACTACGTTTTTTATTGTTTTTTTTATTTTATCATTTTTATTATTTTTTCGTTTATGTTTTGAAAATAATAAAATTCATGTAAAATTACAACTGCCACTAATTTTATCATTTCTTTTTCTAATTCTTTTCTTTAGCCATTTTAATTGAAAATTAAGAAATTTGTTAAATTAAGCGAAAATATTTTAACGCTGCTAAAATTCAAATTTAATTATCGTGTAGGAAATTCTTTTTTAAATTTAAATTTCATCATTTGAAATAATTCTCTTCCTTTTTTTCTCCAAAAATAAAACTGATGATATCATCATCTGCTTATTTTATTTCAACATAATGATATATCACATTGAAGTTTCAGTGATAATTTCAAAATGAAATTCTAACTTTTAATTACAATTTACTTTTTTTAATGAATTATATGCAACAGCGCAGGCCTAATTAAAATTCGAATTTTTTGTTTTTCAAAAATCATTTTCTGATATTTTAATTAATTTCAAAAAAAGATTTTTTTCAAAAGTTTCTTTCTAATTTATGGTTTTGTTTTATTTTTTTATATTTTTTTTCCTTTCTTTGTTTAAATTAATGAACAGAAACTAACTTTTGATTACAATTTCCGA